GCTCTGAGCAAGAATGGCTACGGGACCAGCCCCTTCATTAGACTGAATCACACAGGACAGGAACACTGCTCAGAGCAAAACAGTGTGTGAGAGAAAGAAGGCAGAGCGATGTCTCTGCGAATACTGTACTTTGTAGTGGTTATGTTTTCGTGTGGTTGCATGCATGTGTGTTATACTGCATGCATGTTTGGCTTGACAAACAGTTAAAGACTTCCTCTGTGGTTTTTGCTGTTTGAAAGAAAGGCCAGGACAGGTTATGCATCAAGTTTTTTCTCTCTGCCTGTCCTCTCTCTGTTTCATTAGGAACAACTGTTCTGTTTGCAGACTAGAGGAAAGCCCACAGCCAATTCTCATTCTCAATGTTAGATAAAGGTTTGTCAAGATATAAGTTTTCTTTTTTTAGTTTTTTTTTTTGTACATTGATTGCAGATTTATTAATTTTTCCTTTTTTTGTGAATTTGTATTCTTCCTTTTTTATTTGCTACCTTAAATCAAATTAATGTAACATTTTGGAAGTTAAATGTTTTCCAAATCAGTTCTGCATGGCTCACTACTCTCATAATGACCAACATTTTTCATGTGCCCAGTTTGATCCTTCATTTCCGTGTGAGTAATTTTTCAGCCTTGATTTTTTTTCTCTCTTTCTTGACTCTTTATTTGATAATACTGGCAAAAACAGCTAACTCTTACTAGTCTTAAGTATATAATGTGCAGCATGCCAAACATAGCCCTAGTGTTCTTTTGTACTGGTCCACAGTTTGACCTTTATGAGCTGGTCGACTGTGGCTGTTTTTATTAAGATTCAGACACACACTCTGTGAATGAGGATTCGATGTGGATCGCTGCCATCGGTTCAGTTTGATTGAGTAGGTTGTAGACAGTCATGGTGATTGATGGAGCTGCTCACTGTGGTGTAGGAAAGTTCAGAGTTGGGTTTCAGTGCCCGTCCCGCATGCTATAACCGGCTCGTAAGCTCACCTTCTGTGTCTACACATGTGACCCCTACCCCACTCCCCCTATCCTGCTGGAGCTTTCTGTGACTCATCCTGCACTGACCCTGTTCAACCACCCAGGAAGGGAGGTCAGGGAGAGGGCAGCCTCTTGGAAGGTGACCCCTGCAGCCCTGGGGCACAGGGTGAAGCAAACTTTGCTGACCTATTGCTGGGAGAAGCAAACTGTAAGGTGTTAGTTTAGGTCAGAAATAGCATGAGTAGTGATTGGAAGTGACTTTTGGATTTGCGGCCTGCATTTCCCTGTGCAAAAGCCTTAATTATCTAAGCAAGTTTATTGTATTAGCAAATATAGAGATGTTATGTAAGGTAAGAGGCTATGAGATGCTATTCATGAAAAGTAATGCTTTAGTTCCTGGCCCATTGTCTTGAGTCATAGTTTCATAAGTTTCATGTCTACATCCATACGTGCACCAGCTCACACATCCGTTTCCCTTGCATTTTTCCTCTTCTGTAAGCCTTAAGCTAAGTAATTTAATGTTTCCTGATGTCCTTTTGCTTCAGCTTCTCAGAGGACTGAAGTATTTATGACTCTCCTAATAGCTGACTATCAGTGTTTCCATTCAGTCCCATTGCTGTTAGTCCACTGCTGAGATCCGATTCACCCGTATGTATCCAGACGACTCATCTCCTGCACTTGGGTGCTAGTGCTACTACTACATGACTTGAAGGAGTTGTGCTAAAAGTAGAGCATCAATATTATTGGTCATACTTGAGGTTAGAGCTGTGGTTCTCTTTTTCTTCTCCAAAATCTTTTTGACTCCAGGATACCTCATTTTCCACACTCATTGGCCCTGTGGCTTTCCAGTTTATTGTTAAAAAAAATGAATGCATTTATTGCTTAAATTATACTCTATCTTAAACTAAAAGTGACTGGTTTAATAACCCTTGAAGTCATATTATTTTTTCTGTTTATTTGTGTGAAGCTGCTTTGAAACCATTGTATAAAGCACTATGTAAATAAAGGGGACTTGAGATCAGTGTTGGGTGTAACTAATTACTGTAATTTAATTACTTTTCCATTGAAAATGTAAAGTAAGGGATAACTCTTCATTTATCTGTAATTTAATTACAGTTACTTCTGATGTAATTGAGGTAAATACTGTGTATAGATCAATCCGATCTCACAGTGATTCGTATGCATTTTATGAGGTGTCTAAATTGTATGACCGCACTCGTACAAATTCGTATGAATTATTGTAAAATATGTATGAAAAAAGTGTGAAATGTCATGAGATCAGACATAAAACAATACTGGGTTTAACATCAAAATCTATTGTCTGATGTTAAAAAGTATGTTTGTAACCTTCTCCACCTTGGTCTGTTTAAGGATAATTCATGCAATTTTATAGTATTTATTTGAAAGAATTAAAACAGATTCGTAAATAATTAAATACTTTTTATAGAGAGTAATTAGTACAGTAATCTAATTACACTGTTGAAAAGGTAATTAATTACTTTTTTAGAGTAACTTACCCAACACTGTTTGAGATGTATCTCACACAAACATGTCCAGCTTAAATATCTAGCCAGCTATTGTATAAATGTCATTGAAATTGTTGAGGTTACTTTTTCCTATTCTTTTTTTTCTTTATGTCATTAAATTCTTCTATAATATTCTTAAAGGAATTAAGTTGCTGACAGGATTCATGTGGTTCACCCCATAGGACTCAGATCAAGAGATGGAGTCAGTCTGGATCAGAGAGTTTTTCATCAATAATATTTGACTATTTCCTCAGTACCCACGTATTAGCTGCTGGACTGCGAAGTCAGAAGACAATCAGGACAGATTAAGGGAGTGTTGTGTGGTTTAAAGTTTCATGTGTGCACTCTCCCTCAAACCTTATTCATTCATTTGAACCATTAAGGTGTACAGTTACTTATAACTATAGTTGTCAAACAGTCTCTGATGTGAGGCATTGAGAGAACAGGAAAAGCAGCATTCCATTCTTGGAGTGTTCCTCACCGCTATGCCAATGTCTTCCTATTATATTTTATGTCATTTATATCAGCAATCATACATATCCACAGTTACACCAGAAACTAAAACTAAATTGCTCTTATTGTCATCAATTCAGCTGTCTACATAAGAAGTGCTCACGTGGCACAGTTAGAGTAGACTGTACTTTTCGGTTTTCTTCTTGGATTTTTTTTTTTATCTTGTGTCATTGTTGACGATATAGCAGAATCCCTGCCGGTTGGTTGACACATATCTACGGTATACACCGCCGTACCGCCCAGTTCTAAGTGTTTGTTTGTGTGTGTGGCCCGTGATGTTCTTCGCCATCAGAGAGGCAGAAAAAGAGGCAGATAAAAGTGTGCTTGATAAACGAGTGTGTGACTCCCACCCTTCCTCTGATGGATGATGCAAAGAGAGAGGGGAGCCTTCTCCCCTTGAGAGAGAATACAGAAGGTCTGCGACTGCCAAGGTGCTCAGCGGTGCAGAGCAGGGCTCCCAGAGCACCTTGGGAAATGACAGATTTTTGCAAGCGATCGATAGTCTTCTCTCCAGCAGCCTAACTTACCTCCTGTGGTTGCTCAGGCTATTAATCCGGGCCACTGTAATTTCCTCCTGAAAGAGGAGGAGGAGGAGTAGCAGACAAGAGTCGAGTCGGCTCTAAACGGCAGCCTTTAGAGGGCCAAAGTGTGGGTGACGCAACAGAGATTTGTCTTCGAAAGTTTTCCCTCGCAAATAATACTCTCTCTGAGTTCACCAACAAGCATTAATAAATGTTCTGTAGACAAATTGCACCATAACAGTAAGGAAATGAGAGTTGCAGCAGTTCCTAGTCTTACTTCCTGTCCTCATCTCCTTCTCTTTGATTTGGTTTGTTTGTCTCCATTTCCTCCTATTAATGTCTCTTGCTGTCTACTGTTATGTATCCTTTAAGACCGGCGCTGTAATCGGTGAACAAAACGAGTCGAGGAGGAAAAGTAAGAGCAGTTTACAGGGGCGTAGGAACGGTTTGAGAAGTCAGGGGACGGGATGCGTGGGGAAGTTGGCGAGAATGCGTCAAAGTGGTTTTAATGTCAGAATGGTTGTTGTCACAACTCACAAGTTATATAAGGGTAAGATATCCAAACACTCAATATGATGTATTGACCGTTATGTAGTCCCACCTTGGAGCTAAAAGAACCAATCACAGGTTTAATCAATTTAATTCATGCATAATTCTGACCAGAAACTATTCATTGGTAGTATGTTTATGTATAGCCGTTGTTGTGTGAAAATTTTAAGTTAATTTTAAGTTGGCTATGGTTAACTTGTATGTTTGAGCTGAAATGGGCAGATTGATTGCTAATAAATCACCAAAATATATAAAGAGATAAAGTGAAAAATAATAGTGCTTTTATTTGCAAAACACCATCTAGATAGAGTCATCCTTTCATGTCAGAGATCATATCCTCTCCCAAAGCTTTCACAGCTACCGAGACGTCTCCTGCAATCAGATCTGCGCTCAGGGCATGGCTGTAACCTCCTTCCTGTTGCACACACTGTTGCCAGTGGAATATTTCATCAACAGTGACATTTGCAGGAAACTGCAAAATATCAGAAATGACCCATACGAGGTCATGCTCCCTGTGAATTACTGTGTGGTTAAAAGCAGATAAGATTACATGCTCTTCTGAATATTTGAACCTCCTCATATACCCGTACACATGTAAATATACAGGCAGAAATGTTAAACTGAGTTGTGCTGTGGGCGTTTTCCAGGGCATTGGTATGCTGTTGCTAAGGTGTTTGAGAGGCTGTTAGCATGTTGTGTACTAGTGATCCCTTCTCAAGGTCTCCATGATATTCTGTGTGCCTGTTTTAATGTAAAACAATTGTATTTTTATTTGCCCGTTATAGTGTTTGACCAAAAAAGACAAATTGTATACCTGATGACTTATGAAAGTAAATAAAGCATAAAACCTGTTGGTTTCATCTGGCATGACAATGATTTTCTGTTGGTCGCAGTAACTGATTTCAGCTGTTTTGTCTTTCAGGAAGGCTACTACTCGCACCGGCCCAAGGAGAAAGTCCGCGTGGACAGCAATAATGAGAACTCCGTTCCCAAAGACTTTGAGAACATAGACAACAGTAATTTCGGGGCACGTTCGCAGACACAGAGACATGCGCTCGGCAAGCACAAACAAGGCCTTCTGGAGAAGGCGCATGTGCAGCAAAGCCTGAGCAAGAACTCTAATGAGGTCATTCAGTATGCACAGAACAAAGGGAGCTACAATCAGACGCGCACCGAGCTTCACCGGAGGGCCAATCCCACCCTTCGTCCTCAGCAAACCCAGCAGCACCGGCACCACCTCCAGCAGGCCAAGCGATCGGCCACACCCACGGCTGACATCAAATACGACCAGCCGCCCAAATGCGAGATCAGCGGCAAAGAGGCAATCTCCGCCCTTTCTCGCGCCAAGACCAAGGAGTGCCGGCAGCAGATAGTGGAGGTTTACTGCCGCCACAAAGAACGCCAGCTCATGCCCGAGAAGGTCACCCGTTATTGCCCCGTAGAGGGTGAGTTGACTCTCTTTACATTTCATACTCCATGTTAAAGACGTCACAAAATCAAAATAGGAATTTGAGGCTTTTAGTCCATGCTTATTAGGTTGTGTTTTTTTTTTTTTTTTACGATCGAAATAACAGACTTCTCTCTGGTGACGAAATGCCGAACTTTTCCAGTTCTTTAGTCCTTTTCGCCCGCATCTCAAAATCCAATCAACAACTGATAGATGCATGTTCCCGCCCTACTTTTTAAAATCAGTTACAGTTTGTAGACCTGTCGCTACTTCCATTTCATCGCGACTTTCAGATATATGCATTTAAAAGTCGTTCTTTTCCAAGAAAATGGACCAAAATATTGATTTCTCATTCTACACAACATCCTGTGATACTGGGTTAGGGTTTGTCCTGTTCTTATATTAAACAGTTTGTGTTCTCTTGAAAGAGAATGTCCCACCCGTCTGCAACTGACCAGCATTAGGAAATGGTTCATCGCTGTGATCTTACTAAAGCCTTTTTTAAGGGGGTGAGCCATTTGATTAGCCTGGCAAGCCACACCTATCAAGATGTTAGGTCTGGGAACTCACAATTGGCATACAGTACCTCAATCCGAGGGGCGGGATAAAAGGTTGTCTTTCAATATCCCTCTGCACGCAATAGGATAGCGCCACAACCAACCAGAGCAACGAACAGCTGTGGATGAGTTAGTCCAATGCGTTTTCCCTCTAGCGGAGCAAGTTGATATATTACACTTTTGCCGTATCCGGTCGTCAATACTCCGAATCTTACTTTTTTAAGAATGACTTAAGTGACGTTCTCTTACCTCCAAGTCATCCAGAGTCGCGGCCAAAGCCGAATCAAAAGACCGCTGTTCGCCTGCAGCATCTTGTTTGTTTTTAAGTAGCAGGGAAATCACCTATTGAAAAATCACGGCGCAGAACCTTCACGACTCTGCCATCATTGTGTTAAGCCCGCCCACCAACTCTATACACGATGTGATTGGCCTGACCAGAGTTTGGTTTTTCCACAACGAAGAGTTGCTAGACCACACTTTGCTGTAAAATAATTTTTGCTGCCGCTAGGGTGCGTCCAGATTTCTAGGCTACCATTTGATATATTTACTGTACAAACTTCCTGTTTATAAAGGAAGTACGTCACCACGGAAAACTCCACCGGTCAGAAAACTGTGTCGGGTCTTTAACTCAATGACATGACATTTTCTTTTGGGATGAGGGCTAATTAAAATCATCAACCTGCACTAGCATAAAGTGAAACATTGGCTGGAGTATGGGAATTTAAGATAAATAATGCTCAAAATAATGATGATTTTCCTGAATTAATTGCCATCCTGTCTTTGGAGGTTTATGAAAGTAGTGTATTAAGAGTCACAGGGCTGGTAACAGACATTCACAGCACTTGTAATTACAATCAGACACAGGCTGGAAATGAGGTTGTGGATTTCCGCACAAGGTTAGACGGATGTATTTGCTGCACAGTGTCTTTTTCCCCCCTCCATCTCCCATAGCTAACTACAGAAAACATATTCATGCAATTATGCAGTGCTCAGTCGTCTGCACACAAATCAGGGCTATGGATGCGTTCAAATAGAACAGTGACAGATCTTCCCGGGGCCCAAGAGCCTCTGCCTAAAGAAACTTCCGGAAACCAGAATGGGTTTTGACAGATATGACAGGGACATAACCACAGAGACATGAGAGTCTGGGACATGAAGAGGTTTTAAGGGGGTGGGGCAGGGCAGGAACGCTTCTATTTCCAGCAAGTACAGTAGACCGACCAAGCCACATAGATGGTGTTTGAATGTATTTATAAACAGTAATTGCATTATGTAGTAACAGACGAAGACTTTGGTGGTGAACAAGTGAGTGGTTTGCCTCAGTGTTGGCAATTAGCACAGAAGCAATGCAAGTTTGAAGCTTACGGCTGATTTTTAATGAATATCATCTGATGAATGAGTTTCAAAAGTGATCCAGGCTGTCGGTCATGAGGGCCCACGAGGAATCTGTACATTTTTTACATTTTCTCTTCTTGACTGTTAAGAGAAGTCTGAAGAATAGATTTACTGAACTGCGAATACTACCTAAGTTTCTAAACTCAGTGGCTCTTTTTGGCTGTTTTTTACTTGAATGGAGAAATATAGAAATTTAGAAAATATAAAAAAGCTCTTTCACTTTGTGTAGATTAATTTTCAAAAATCTAACAGTGGTATTATGAAATTAGTCTCTGTCAAACTACAGTATATTATCCAGGCCGTTTCATGCGTTTACTAGAGTAAAAAAAAAAAAAAAGCTTCTAACCAAAAGTTGTACACTCTTAACTGAAGGGAGCACATCCATTCTATTATTTGTTCTTTAGGGTCCCATCTTCTCCTTACACTGTTTGTACTGTATATTTGTTCTGCTCCACTGTACTCTGAGATTTATGTCATTAGCTTATGGAAAAACATTTTGTTTCCTCTAAAAAAAGCACTACTGTACAAAAGTTTAGGGTCAAATACTGTATTTAAAGGAATACATTTATTCAGCAAGGATGCATTGGACTGATCAAATTACATTTAAAGACATGTATAACATTACAAAAGATTACTATTTCAAATACATGCCTTTCTTTTAAACTTTCTATTAATCAAAGAATTCTGAAAAAGGGGTTTACTGTTTCCACAATACATTAGGCAGCACTGTTTTTAACATTGGTAATAATAAAAAATGTTTCTTGACGAGCAAATCAGCATATCAGAATTATTTCTGAAGGGTCATGTGACACTGAAGACTGGGGTAATGATGTTGAAAATTCAGCTTTGATATCACAGGAATAAAATGTAAAACATTTATTTTAAATTGTAGTAATTTTACAATATTAGCTTACAGATTTTACTGTATTTTGATCAAATAAGCGCAAGCTTGAGAGACTTCTTTCAAAAAAAGTAAAAACTCTAACCAAAGTGTTTCTCTATTAAGTCTTAAATTGAATCAAATTCTTGCAATGGGGGTCGATATTGTGTCATGCTCGTGATAGAGCGGTATCGGAAAGATCTTGGAGCGAGAAGCAACACAGATGCTCCGACTTTTAAAAATGCTCACCGCTTCAGGCGAAATCACACTTCGAACTCCACTTCTATTCCTAGACGTTCACATACTCTGTTAGAAGAGCCAGTGTTTCACTGGGACAGATAATGAACAGGCCAGTCCACACCCCATAAAGACAGAGGACAGAGGAGTTAAGATGGTGTAATTGCCTTTAATAAAGGACATTCATGCCTTTCCCAGTCTCCACCCATCCAGGGTCAGCCAGGTCCTCCCTGAGGGCCAGGAGCGGTGCCTTCTCCTGCTCCCTCACAGGGTCTGGTAGACCAGTGCCATTTGGGACAGTAACGACAGGCTCAGATCTCAGATTATAGTCATTACCCCCTCATGGCCCATGTCTTCAGTCAGCATGGCCTTATGCCAAAACATAGTGCCTTCAGTGTAATTTCATATGAGCTTTTAAAATTAACCTCATGGCCTGTAATGAGTAATTCAGTTTGCCCTTCTTTAGAAGTGGCAGGCTATACCATGACATGGAGAGAGAAGTCCGCCATGTATTTATTCTGTGTGCATTTTTAGAAAGCCACAAATGACCGAGGCTCAGCCCTTGTGGTCTGTGCCAAGCTATTTGTGAGTGCTGAATATATGTCTGAAGGAAGGCGGGGTATGGTGTCTTATATCTGCTATTGTGGAGATTGTATCAGTGAAACATTTATAGGCCAATAGGTGATCATGTGGTGGATTGCTGCGGTTCTGGATTCCGGCGCTATAGCAGTGTTCTCAAATGGATTGAGGTGCTCTCAACTCAGTTTAAATGTTACAGAGGCTCATCTGTTTCTTCTGGGACCATTGAGGGCAACTCTCAATGACTGCATCACACAGTTAGTTTTTGACAGTGACATCTGTATTTACTAACAGGGGTGTCTCCTGAATTGTCCTTCTTACATAAAACAGCCCCTTTTCTATTCCCCCGATATTCACGGATAATGACTGTAACCATATTAGCGAAAGGAAATATCAAAGATGGCGACTTCCAGAATGAGTTTAGATGAGTTAACATTTTTGCTTTATTTTTGCTCCCTTTAACCTCTAAAATTTGTGATCACTTTGAAATCAAGTGACAAAATTGACCAAAACCAGTGAAAACTACTTTTTATGACAGCCGTAATTGTTCAAAGGTAAATGTACACTACCTTTCAAACATTTAGGTTGGTAATATTTTTTTAAAGGTACACTATGTAACATTTTGGCACTCTAGCAGTTGAAGAACAAAACTGCTGAAGAACATTGTTTAGGTTGTGCTTTGGCTCTGTGTGACTGTGTGGATGAATATGGTTATCCTACTGCATATAAAATATTCACTATTAGGCTTAAGTTAAATAACCAGTTTAGATGGAAAGGATCTTAAGCTGAAGTCATTACTGTAGCTATAAACATTAATAGACACTGTATTTCATTAAAAATAAATTTCAACAAAACGCTGCAACAACCATAGTGAAATGGCCCTTCACAATAGATCATAATTTACAACAAACACTGATAGAGAGCTACATATGGCTGTTTATCTATACAATAAAATAGTTAACTCACCTGTTGAGTAATAAAAATGCCATCTGCACTTTTACAACATTTCAAATCCTTCAGTTCTCGCCATCTCCGAAAAGCCAAGCAAATGTTGATTCTTGTTTTATTATGAACTCTGTGTTCACTTTTTGTGTTTTTAAATGAGGGATTCTTTAGAGTTTCGAGATTTAGCTGCTCCATGTCAACCTTTGTCGCTTGTTGTGACTATACCACTTACACATGCATCAAAGTAGAAAGAGCAACTTTTCTCTATTTACGGATATGACACGCATGGGCAAGTGACGTATGTACAGTATGCAAATTAAAAAGAACAGCCATTATTTGAAAGATAAGTATTTTGTAACATTATGAATATCTTTACTGTCACATTTTATTAATTTAATGTATCCTTGACAAATAAAAGTATTAATGTCTATAAAGAACATTAGTGTACATCAATAAAATGATTAAATTACAGTTTTTGTCAAACTAATCAGATTTTTATTTTTATTTGTGATTGGTTAGAAAACATCATGCCCCATAAAAGTGAAAATGCCCCTGGAAATCAAATACTGGGTGCAATTATTGCCCTTAAATTAATTTCTGACAACTGACAGCCTAAGTATGTGTTAGGTCTAGACATGGATAATTTAGTCTAGAGTCCGTTTTGGCTAATGCGTGTGTGTGTGTGTGTGCTTGTGCAGGCAAAGTGAATGTGAATGTGCAATGGGAGGAGGACTCGATGGAGACCGTGCCTGTGGTACCGGTGCGGATAGCCTTCATGTTGGTGGTCCATGGACGGGCTTCTCGCCAGGTGCAGCGTCTCTTCAAGGCCATATACCACACATCTCATTTCTACTACATTCATGTGGACCAGGTATGTCTTCAACACACATCCAAGTTTTATATTTGTATAATGGTGAAAATATTCTAAAAAGATTGAACAAGAGGAGAGGAGTTATGAAGTTGTAAATGTGTTAACAAGTATAAAATATATATTAATTGTTTAGGTTTCCTTTGATGTCATCTAACTCTTACTTAGATTAATATTTAAAAACACTTTTAATTTAATAACACTGTTCAACATCTTTAGCAAATCTCAAAATGATTATTCATTTTTCATTTTGGAATAATATATTATGACTGATTTGAGTTTTTAGTGTATTATTTTTAATTTATTTTAGACAAAGTACAATACAATACTATATCAGGAATTTATACATTATTGGCCATGACATTTTAATATTGGATATTAAAACAGAATTTTAATATCTGTGCATCCCTGCTTTTTTCTTAATTTATGCTCTTAATTTATATATATATATATATATATATATATATATATATATATATGTAATATAGGAATAAACTATTTAAACTCCTTAATTAACTGGTTGGTTGTTCGGTGAATTGTTAATCGTCTCTGAGAGGGGGATAGGAAGAGAGGAGGATGCTGGGTAAACAGTGGGCTCCTAACCACTCCATTCATTCAGTATGCTGTTTCAAAAGTGTGATGGAGGATTATTAAAGAGCCCTAATTCAGTGTCTTTTACACCATTCACTCTTTCAGCTTGGCAAGTGATAGTGTGAACATGTAAGGCTGTTTGTTCACACACACACACACACACACACATACACACACATAATGCTGCAACCCCCTCCCTTAATTACACATACAAAAATACACTTAATAAGCTACTTGAATTTATGGCATGAATGCGTAGGGTGAGTACGCTCTCTTGTAATTTCGAAAGAGCAGGATAAAGAGCTGCTTTTCAATCAGTCCATCATCGTGGAGACAAGCTTTATGGCTCCATAAAACGAGCAGAGGAAAAGAGGAGTTAAAGGTGGGGTGATGTAACATGGAAAACACAGGGAATCAAAGACTGTGTATATCTCAAGACCAACGTAGTGCTTTACACACAAGTTTGTCACAAGCACTATACTACTACTACTACAAAAAAAAAAAAAAACACTTGTGTATCTTTGTCTTGTTTTCTAGTGAAATATCTAAACATCTTTTAAAACAAGATATGTGTACTTGGGAAGTAAAATTGTGTTCGATTAGATAAATATTTATTTTCAGCATAATCTTCACTAAAAGTTTAGGGATACACATATTGGGTATATAATAGAGAATTTTTAAAAATGTATTGTTCAATATTGGATGTATATCAGTCGATATTTAATTGCACTTGATGTTAATTGATTGTTTAGGTTTCCTTTGATTTCATCTACCTCTTACTTAGATTAATATTTAAAAACACTGTTCAGTGTAATCTTTAGCAAATCTCAAAATTTTATTTTATTTTTATTTTATTATTATTATGATTATTCATTTTCCATATTGTACTAAAATACTATGACTGATTTGAGTTTTTAGTGTTTTATTTTTTTTATTTATTTAGACAAAGTACAATACAATACTACATATCAATATTGGGAATTTATCCGTTATTGGCCATAACATGAAAATAATCCTTGGCTATTTAACAGAATTTTAATATCTGTGCATCCCTGCTAATTTTTCTTAATTTATGCTTGACTCAATAAGAAAAGGAAAGTACATTTAATTAAATTTAATTCTTTGATAACAATATCTAATAAATTGTGCAATTTGTTTCTCAAGAAAATGTATCTTTTTTTTAGGATGTTTAGATATTAACAGGACAGGACAAATATATTAAGAAAATGTGTAGGTGTACACAAGGTACATGAAACTCTGTGCCACCTGACTGTTTGAAAAGCCTTCATTCACTTTATTTAATCAGTTTTCCCCCACAAGGTCAGACTTTGTTTATCTCATGATAACTCTGGTCACGTTTGACTGACTGATCCTAGATAAAGTTCTCGGGCTCCAAATTACCCCGAGCCTGTCTTTTTTCACCCTGCAGCGATCTAACTACCTGCACAGGCAGATGGTGGCTCTGGAACGCCAGTATCCCAACGTCCGGGTCACATCGTGGCGCATGTCTACGATATGGGGCGGTGCCAGCCTGCTCACCATGTATCTGAAGAGCATGAAGGACCTGCTGGGCATACAAGAATGGTCCTGGGATTTCTTCATCAACCTGAGCGCTGCTGATTACCCAATCAGGTGAGTAATCATTCTCTCTCATTACTCTACTTTTGACTGATTATTCAGTTGATATCATTTGCATTGCTTGGCTTGTCATTGTTTTCTCTCTGGAACGATTCAAGTTTATTGGTTGGCACAGAACAATTGAGTTAACACCTGACTAGCGTCTAGCTGTGGGCTGTTGGGAGATTAGTTCCAAGCTATGTCACAATTTAGTTTAGCTGAGGATTATGGGTAATTGAGATCACCATTAGCTGTTTGATCTGGTGTAAACAAGCTTGATGGTTCGTAGAACTGTTCAGGGATTACAGGGAAGCGTATTGTAGAGATTGTACCTTTTTATTCAGAATTAGCTCAATATAACACCAAAGCAAGCCAAGGAACTTGAAGTCTACCCCAAATATTTGAGGAAGAGTAAAATCAAAGACTCCAATAGTTCAGGATTTCATCTCATTACCTGTAACTCAATGTGGCATTTATGCCTGTAAGCCGAACTGTGTCTGAACCTCTGAAGATTTGAATTATTACCATGATAAATGCCATTAGTGTGCATAACTCTTCAGTCCATAATGAGAGCAGGATGAGAGGTTGAGTAACCCAGCTACTCCCCCGGCAACAATCAATACTACAGCCATGTCATTTTCTGCAGCCCTCAGAAATCAGGGTGTTAGAGATCGATACGGCCGTGTGATGAATTCTGGCCTGTCCCGCATAGCCGTTCAAGGTTAATCCTGCCTCTCTATCACTCCGTCGCATGCCACACTTCCAGACCGGAGAGGGAAGTTAGCTGTGAGCCAAAGCCCCTTTAAAAGCGGAACATCAAAGAAAAATAAAATGATTCTTTTCATCTCCTACGCTGAGTCGGGTTCAGGTGAATGCTATAAGTAGCCTGTCAGTGTGTGTGTGTGTGTGTGTAGTGCAGTGATGTAGTTGCTATCATTTGTATTATACTGTGCAGAAACACCATTTCTCTAAAACATGAGGACAAATCGGTCCATTAAGGAGTCCGATCCGGCTCCTTCGGTTGTGGTGATGGAGAGTTATTTCTCAGTCCAATTATATAACAGAAACAGGGGTCAGCAGAGAGGAAGCTGTGAGGAAAATAACTTCAACAAAAGATAAGAAGAGTCGTAATATATATACAATGTATATATATATATAGATATACAACATTACAAAACTTTAATTTGTAATGGTACAAGACTGTGTTAATGAAAGAAAAAACTGCAATCCCATCAAGCCTAGAAAATGACATCATAGAAATAAACACAAAGTAAAATATAAAACTATTGATATAAAGATGTTTATTTTTATGTTAATTTTTTAGTAATTACATAGATTGATGTGTATTAGAAAAGATTAACAGAATTGTAATATTATCTGTGCATTCCTGCTAAATTCTTAGATTTGTGCCTAACTTTTTTGCCAATGGGTTAAGTAAAAAATACATTTTAATTACAGTTTAATTTCTTAAAAACAAGTCCTATTATCTTTCGTAATTTTGCCTCCCCTTGTCTTCATTGATCTGATTTTAAGGATGTTTACATATTTATATATAACTATATTTTGATTATTGCAAAATATGAATATTATGCATACAAATATTTGAGTAGTTTAAGGGCATAGGGAAACTGACTCTACATCACTTGCAGCGTTTTATGGGAGTGTGCGGGCACTAACGGTACGGGTTTGATTTACATGAAATCATGCAAGCTGATGGGTCCAACAAAAGCATATACCATCGATTAACAACCTCGTAGCTTGCAGTAGTGCTGGAATCCCCGCCTCCATTTTGAAGTGCGTTTCACTTCGTGAAGTGGACGAGCAAACTTTATATGGACCGACCATCGCTCCCTCGATTTTGACTGAGTACACTTGAATGTACACTTCAGGCAGCTCCATATACCACAATGCAACAAGATTGTGCTGTCACCGCAGATCTCATCTAAACACCACCACCACTCTATGATATATTAATTAGGATTTTTAAAAATGTATAATAACCCAAGCACACCTATATACATTTGGATTGGATGCTGCATTAAATTCTTAAAGGAAAAAAAATCAACTCCATATCAAGAGCTTAGGACGTTCCAATTCATCCCATTGCAGTTTCCTCCAGTAGTGGGAACTCATGCAACGTAAGCAATGGCGTAAATCCGAGTGAACGAGACGAAGGGAAGTTAGCAAGTGAAGGGCATGACATTTTTGAACTGGAATGCAGCATTGGTCTGTCTTTAAAGGTTTAATCGTTTTAAAAATCAGTTCCCTCACGGTTCCGGTACCCAACTGTTTCATCCTAATGCTGTAGGTTAAAGATCACCTCTGATTGGACAGACTGGCAGATCAAGATGACAAAGCCTGTTTGGAGTCCATTAAACCTCATCACAATTTGGCCAGAGAGACATGAAGGGTTATCATCCAGACATTCAGTGTTTTTTTTTTCTCAATCTTGCCTCAATGGCTTTGACAGACAAAGCGAGTGTGAGACAGGAAGTAAGGTGAAGGACAGAGACAAAGCCACAGACAATGTTCGAATGCACGCTTGACTTCCAGTGTAGAGCCACAGTGTGTTTGCTGACACTGCAGACTTTGCTCGGCTTCATAGCGGCTGCTCCCATTACCGACTAATTGCGAATGACAACGCGTGTTAGAGGTCCTGGGGGGACATCTTCAGTGCTGGCCTTCCTAAAGACCAGTGCACAGCCCTTTCGCAGAACGTTTTGTCCACATGTCGTGACTGCTGTGCCAAGGGACATGCAGTACCTGTGTCTGGTGACTTAGCAGCTTTTTTCCCCTCTAATTCCCTCCTGATGTCCATCCTTCTGCATGGATGCTTGTGAAAGGGGCTGACAAAAAGCTCTCTCCTCTATAGGCGAGGCTGGACGCCAAAGGCGGAGGGCTCCGTTACACAGTGCCTTTGTTGGAAGCGCTGTGCTCTTTTCTTCCATTTATCCACACCATCTTGCTCTTTTCCTCCGGCCCTGTTTTTAAGTCAGCGCAGCTGTATTTATAGCCTTTTCATGAAGAGAGAAAAGGAGAAAACAATGAGTCTGGATTTTGTTGTTCTCCTCTTCCCATGTGGTCACATGGGCTCCATGATGCCCTCTTCTGGAATGGAGCGGCTCTGCAGACTGTTCGGAGTGGATAACTAGCTTACTAAATACTATGCGTTATATACTGGATTTAAAAAAAAAAGTTATAAACTAAAAATGCTTCAAAGTGTAGGATTCTTCATCTTGAATTTTTTTTTATCTAATTTTATTTTAAAATGATTAACATTTTTCAGTTAAATTAAATAATTAGACAAGAAAAAGCTAAACTAAAAATATTGACTATAAACTATAAATATATACTATTTTTATATATACTAAATTTTAACCAAAGTATGTTACAATCTCCACACAAAGACCCTAAAGAATCACACCAACTTGTGGAAAATGGGCGTCCGATAAGCCAATTTTTGGTAGTCTGATTTGAAAAGGATTCAAAAAAGATATCATTCATTTAGTTGATCCTGATTTAGTTGGGCTCAATGCATTATAGGATACAATATTTCTGATGGTTTGATCTGCTTGCATACTGTGCAATTGTAAAAGGTCATCGGAGTCTGCAAATTACAGAAAATTTGCATACCATGAAGAGACCTCAAAAATAAAGCGTAAACATCCTCTCCGTCTCTCTCTTTCTCCTACTCTCTCCCACTTGGACTGATGCTGCTCATTATTATTGCACCGTTTTGAAGGCACTGCAGTCAGATTTCAAATCGGTTACAGAATACAGCTCTCTAATAACCTGAGTGACTGTCAGCTGTACATGCAACACTGGAGCAAGGTTTCGTTTCAAATGCCACCGTGGGTTTCCAATCCTGACCTTTTTCAGTCAGGCAACAGGAAAGACACTGCAGGTCAAAGTGCATTTGTGCATGTTCATCTTTTGAACGGTAGATGATATGTCGCCTTAAGCTATTGAAATGAACCTTGTGAGATAAAGTCATAAATGATTGACGTGTGCAGCTGTAGGCATGTTGACGACATGATGATGATAGAATGACAGAGTGTTTACTGAGTTACAATTCACATGCAAACATCAACAAATTCACCTCAGCTATTTATGTCTGTCTTGGTTGTGAAGAAATGTTTGTTGGCTTTTTTTGAACAATGTTTTTCACCTATTTTCGCAATTAATAAAGATCCATCCACTTAAAGAAACTCTCCGAGGAGCATTTCAACCTGAGGTCTGCTGTCTGTTTTTGGTATATTTGAGCTTTTTAAGAAGTGGATCATAAGATTTATAAGAATTTTAAAAACAAAATGTAATGGCTTTGCACCTTTAACTTTTTCATATTTGCACACTTATGAGCAAGCAAGACATTTTACAAATTCCACCATCTCTAGTATTTCAGTGATAAATACATTTTTATTATTATTTTTATCTTCAGTGTGAAGCCATTTCCCCTCTTCCAGAAGCCTGCAGGGAAAATGAAATGAAATTAAACGTGAGAGAGCAGTGTGTATGGTGAAAAATGACTATAAACGTTCAGGCAATGTATTGCGACAGACTGTGAAACAGGACAGCTGGCATTTGGGGCTGGAACTGGCTCTGTATGAGTTTGGACTCGCCCAGAATCCCTCATACTCCACGCTCATTTACACTGTGGCTCATTAGCCTGATTAACAGATTCTGTTACCCTTTCTCTCTTTCACTAGTTTTCGGTTTTCCCTTCCAACATTATTTCGATCTCTCCTCAGGACCAATGATCAGCTGGTGGCCTTCCTGTCCAAATACAGAGATATGAATTTCATCAAGTCTCACGGGAGAGATAACGCTCGGTGAGTGCGGATGTGTGATTCTGCTAATGGCTTACGGTGCACGAGGCTCAGAAGGGTGCCTTTTATAATCGATAAAAATTTATTTGTAATTTGCATTGTTGATAATCATCGCCAACAGATTCATCAGAAAACAAGGTTTGGACCGGCTTTTCTTCGAGTGCGACACCCATATGTGGCGGCTTGGAGACAGGAAAATCCCAGAAGGCATATCCGTGGATGGAGGCTCTGACTGGTTTCTGCTCAACCGAAAGTTCGTGGATTACGTCATCAACTCTCAAGACGACCTCGTGACCAACATGAAGCGTTTCTACGCATACACACTTCTACCTGCGGAGGTGAGATGCCAAGTTACGCTCCAAAATCATGTTAAAGAATTAAAAAATATTCGATAATATATATTGGATTGTTTATTCTTGTTGTTTCTTGTTTTAAACGTAAACCTAAATAAAAGTATGGGTTGGGTTTAATATTGATATATACAGTATATCGATTATATAATATTATATATTCTCTGAAGTCTTAGACAGAATTGCTTGTGAATTAAATGTATTTGTTTTAAGGCTGTTTAGATATTTTTAACAAAAAACAAACTAATAATGATCAAGAAAATGACTGTTGCATTGCACAGTATTACAAAGATTCCTCTACATTAATTCACTAGATTGACGTTGCATTCATTTTTAAATTAAGTTGAAGTTGAAGATGATAAATTGTGTACATTTCCAAAAAGCAGGAATGAATTTGCATAGTTTTATTTGCTCATTTGAAATGACTGTCAGTGTGTTAGTTTTAATAAAGGGCTTTTTGCTGTGCCACGGTGAAATTGGATTCTTCGCTCTGTCTAGGTCTAGTTATTCACCACTGAGATATTGGATATTGTGGCTTGAGAAGGCAATTGGCCCTTTTTTACTGATGTAGACATTTAACACACTAGACCTCCTGACAGGGCTATTCTGTTAGACATCCATCTTCATTTTATCAGATGTCATTATTCTGTTCCAACCTCTTAGTCATCTGTTTTCTTCTCTTTCTCTTCACCTCTCACCATCCCTTCCTATTTATCATCCTCCTCCTCTATTCTCGTTCTGTCTTTGCAGTCGTTCTTCCACACAGTTCTGGAGAACAGTCCGCACTGCGAGAGCATGGTGGACAACAACCTTCGCATCACTAACTGGAATCGAAAGCTGGGCTGCAAGTGTCAATACAAGCACATCGTTGACTGGTGCGGCTGCTCGCCAAACGACTTCAAGCCCTCCGACCTGCCCCGTTTCCAGGTGAGCATCTTGTATCCTTCCCACGATACTTTCAGTCCTCTCGTTGTCCAACTGTATCAGTGCAGCTGATGCTTACAGGAACAGTTCAATGAGCCTGATCATTAGTTAAACTCTTTTAAAGCCTTTTCAGTGACAGCGCTGACCTCACGCCTGAAGGAGACCTACGCCGCGTCCTGTTTAGTTTGAATAAGCACAATAGGCCTTTAATTTACCTTAAACAAACACCTAATAGTGTGAGACAAGCTCTCTAGTCAGTAGCGATTTCAATCGTGATTAGAAATCCAATGAGACTCAACTAAAGGAAAGCCTTGCTAACTCGTGCCTACACAGGGGATCTGTAATTAACTCTGCCCGGCAGAAAAGGACGATGAGAGATCAATTCCAAGGCGGTCTCTCATCAAAAGGATTCTGGTAGCGAGTCTAGTATGTGGAATGAGGCCGTGGAGCTTGACCGCAGCAGCCAATTCCCCTTTCTCCCCCCTACCTTTGGTCTGGAAGTCTCTCATTAGCCTCCAGTAAAGAGTCAATCCTAACATAGTCATGCCGACCTCTGTGACTCGCTCTCCCTTACTGTAACTCGAGCTACAGGCCCGGGTTGAAATGAGTTTTAAACTTGTCATTCCCAGCCTGGTGATTTTCACATAGCTGGCTGTACTTAATGTTTTCCATTCTTCTGCAATAGAGCTGCAATTTTGCATTTTCTTCCCTTTTTTAGTTTTTTTTTCCTCTTGCTCTATTTACCGCCATGTCGTGTTGCTTGCGGTATGGTTTCACATTAAACGATGTTCCCGTTTCCTCATAAACTCCCTACTGTGCACTCGTGTGCCAAACCATGACATCATCACCATGTGCCACATCAGGCAGTTTTTGCCGCTTTTGCTCACTTTTTTCTTTTTTTTTCTTTTTTCAAAACAGCCCAGCTGAAGAAGCCACATTTTCAACATCCATTATGGCGAATCTTGATGTTCATATGTCCTAATTTAAGTACAATTTTCTTTTATCATAGTGCTTTATTTATAAATAGTGTTTCCTGTTGTGAATGTGGGATGAAAACCCAGCACCATCAGAGCAGTATTTCGAGCATTGCTAAATGTTTGCAGCCACAACTCCTCTATATAATGGAGTCTTTCACAGAGTGTGCGGTTAACTCATTCAGGCCTGTGCTGGGGGAAGGGCCTGTGAGCGTTTAGCGGGTCATTATTACTGAAGGCATACCCATAGTGAGTGTTGAGTAATTATCCTGTGACAAAACCTCCTTTCTCACAGACAGCTCTGAAGAAAAAGGACAATGGGAGAAGAAGGGAGGCTTGAAATGTGTCATGACAGTTCAGTTTTTTTTATCTGAGCATTTCTCACCCCTCACCCCATAACCAAACGAAAAAGCTTCCCGGACTGGCCTCTTCAAATCACTTTTATAAAAAAAAAAAAAAAATGCTCCCCACAGTTTTGCCTTCTTTAACTGTTTAAAAAGAAAAAAATAATAATTAAGGGATGGTTCGCCCAAAAATGAATATTAATTAAAAAAAAAGTCATGACTTGCTTTCTTTTGTGGAACACCGACATAACGGTCGCTACAATGCAATACATGCTAAAAAAATGGTTCACAAGTTGCGATGAATGAATGGCTCTTTCCAATAAATCAGTTGGTATACAATTACCAGTCTGAATGATTAGTTCGACTCATGCTGAATTTTTCCTTTAGTGTTGCATGGAATGAAGAAAGTCATACAGGTTTAAAAAAAACATGGAAATGAGTAAATGATGACAGAATCTTACATTTTGGGGGATTTTCATTCCTTTCGAGGTTTGTTTTTTGATTTTTCCATCTTCTAGTTTGGTCTCTTGAAAGATGTCTGACAGGGGTTTGCTGTCACCTGAAAGCTATTTCAAGCATGAAGATTTTTGATTTCTTTGGTTTTTCTCAGATGTTGTCCCTCTTCTTATCTGTCTTCTGTTACACATGTTAGTCTGCAGGGAGCCACGTTGGATGTGAATAATAAGCAACACCACCGTTTCATACCAGACATATGCCACTTTGATTTTTATTTTTGGTGTCAATTATCTCTGGAGAATTTGTCTCTGATTCTTTTAGCTTTTTCCCCCTTCTAGCACATCATCCTGGATGGTGTGCCACGCATTTCAGTTTTCAGTCTCTTCGCTCTGTCACTATCTCTCTTTCTCTTCCTGTTTCTGAAGTCTCAGCAGGCTGTCTTGTCTATCAGCGTCTCTTTGTCTTCACACTCACGCTCTCTTTCTTTCTCTCTCTGTCTTTGTCTCCATCAGCAAACCACCAGGCCCACATTCTTTGCAAGGAAGTTTGAAGCCAGTGTAAATCAAGAGATAGTAAACCAGCTGGATGTCTTCCTGTTCGGAAGTGTGCCGCAGGGCATGCGGGGTCTCAAGGCCTACTGGGAGAATGTTTTTGATGAAGAGGATGGTATTCACAGCCTGTCCGACGCACATCTCACTTACTATCATGCCTTCGCCCGATTGGGTCTGGCACGAACTGGCAACTCGTTACAGGGTAACACCGATGACAACAGCTGCAGGTTAGTGCTCAGTACATTGTTTTTGTTTTTTTTTTACTGTAGCACAAAAATAGTTAAATACATTTCTCGGGAAAAAAATAACAACAGAGCTATAATCTGAATGTATTGTTTTTAGAAGATTTAACCACATTAAAGTTGTTGTAACCTTTTTTTAAGCTTGAAAATTTTGGGATGCCATTGACTTTTGTTGCATGGCAACGAGCAGCACATTTTCGTAAAATCAGTGGGTTTGCTTCTGAACCTGCATTTTACTTTGGAGAACATGAGATGACCAAACACATCCAAAATTGGTTATCAAACAATAATGAATGTTGATGATTTTGTGCTTGGTAACCAATAATTTACTGCACAAATTATAGTCGACATAAACCGTTTATCCTCATTTCCAGTGAACCTGATTTTAATGCGATTTATGTTGTCATTTATTTTAACTTCAGTAGTTTATTCATGGTTTTCAAAGATTTTAAGAGAGGATTTGGCTCATTTGGCTGGCCTGATAGCACCAAATGCACTCCAAAATTACAGAGTTTGATTGATGCATAGCCTTTGATGTAAAAAAAAAAAATTCATTAATTGTTGTCATTTAAAAATATAGATCAATTAATCAATAATAATAATACTGCAAAATACCAGTGGAGGATTCCAAATACCATGTGCACAGCCTACGTTTGATTTATATTTAATTAAATATATTACATTTTCAATGAATGTGTTTTGATACATTTTGACTATGAATTTAGTTCTCATTTTATTTTTACAGAAAATGTATTAGTTGATCTTAATTTATTTATTACGGTTTTACTGCATTAAAACCCACTAATATTTACATTCATATTTCCCCAGTTTATGGATTGTGAAATATTTCAGACATTAGTTTAGATTTTTGGTTTAAATCGACCATCTTTTGTGACTGAGACCGTAGATTAACCTTTCTTGGTGGCGACTTACCAAACTGCTGTAAATAACTTATAACTTATATACATATAATAATAACATAGTATATGTTGCTTATGATGACATGTGATGACATTTTCAAGTGAATTATTCTGAACATTTGTGTGTCTGTGTTTTTGGTAGTGTAGGTATTTTATTGCAATTATGTTTAGTTTGAAACTGTTTATATATTGGCATTTTGGATATTCTGAAAGCTAAATAAGTGCACACTCATTTGTGCTGTCTTCCGAGGGAAGCGCAGCTTTGTTTGATCTCACATGCAGCAAATCTGAAGTTCCTCAGCTGTCCAAACATCTGTCATTACTGAGATAGAGAAGAGAGAGGATAAGGGGCCGTGTTTGTCAGTCTGGCTGCTGTGTTTATGTGTTTATCAGTGCAGTAATGCCTGGCGTCGCTGCTCGTTCTGTGCGAGGGGAGCGCTGGTGCATTCTGACAAGAGAGCCACAGTATTTGGACCCTGCAGAGGGACTCATCAGGCTCAAGGAAGAGGTTGTTGCTGGTCGTGGGGGTTGGGCGGTGGCGCTCAGGGTCTGTGAGTGAGGGAGAGCTCTGTTTTTTGCAGCCCTCTGTGACATCAGCGGTGAGAAAGCTGAGGTGGGCCGCTTGAATAGCTGCTCTGTTAGTCCCTGCGTGCTGCCCACCTCCTGCGGTGACAGCGGACGGAGGAGGAGGGGGGAAGGCGGCCGCACCGCTGTAAATATTTGCTGTTCTGCTTGTCAGGCAAGCGATGCTGGGATGGAGCACCTCCAGCCTGTGCTGGAATACTGATGAGAGCACGGCGACGGAGCTCAGGGTGGAGATCACTGCGAGAGCAGCCATCCACTCCGCATGAACGCCTGCGTCTCTATCAGCTCCTGCTGCTCCGTCTGTCTCAGTGTCTATCACTTCACTCGCCTCTCTACAGCCCAAATAAACTTTGCTCAGAATACAACATTATTGATTCTGTTGTTCAGAAGGGGTTTTTTTTAGGTTTTTTAAAGGTTTTAGGTGTTAACGAAGCCCTAAGAAACTTGAATTTAAATGAAAGACAATTACTACTCAAATAATTGGTCGTAATGAAGTCCCGTTTTGCAAAATGTACAAATAGCTTGTTAAGAAAACATTTATTTCAGGATTCTTTGATGAATAGAAGGTTAAATTTATTTGAAATATGATACAATCTTTTGGAACATTGTAAGTCTTTACTGTCATTTTTGATCAGCATATGGCTAGAATTTGCTTTCTGTGAGTTTGGAGTGGCTATATCCTTCTCAGATAACATTATAAGTAACTTTGCTGTTACTTTAGATCAATTTAATGCATTCTTGCAGAATAAAAGTATTACTTTCAAAAATATATTTTAATTTGAGAATATCTAATATGGAACATTCTTCATTAAGTCACCAAAACAAAAACATTAGGGACAAAAATATATATATGAAGAGTTCAGATGCAAAAGCCTCTAAATGCCATTTGAAATTTTCTTCTTTAATGATGATTTTTATCAAACTTGTATATTTAAGTTCAGTGATTTCACTTAAATGGCAATGATAATTACCTATTAATTGTTATTTAAGTGAAATTACTGAACTTAAATATACAAGTTTGATAAAAAAATCATCATTAAAGAAGAAAATTTCAAATGGCAATTTAGAGGCTTTTGCATCTGAACTCTTCATATTCAAATAAATATAATGTAAAATAGTTGTATATATGTCATGGCCAGTAAGAAATATTATTGAAAAAATCTCCAATGAAGATGCCTTGTTAGGTATAACAAAAGATTCATTTTGAGCCCTAGTATTGTGAAGTATTGTGAATTATTATTATTATTTCAGAATGACATCTTTTTTGCCTGTAGGTATTATGCCATGGGTCATCCTGTGTCTGTCCACATCTACTTCCTGTCTGATGAGTTCCAGGGATACCTGGTCAGGCATCACGCCACCAACCTGGCAACAAGCAAACTGGAAACCCTGGAGACCTGGCTCATGCCCAAACAGTTCTTCAAGTTCACCAATCCACCCAATACATTCAACCGACTGCAGTTCGCAGAGGTTAGTAAACTCACAGTCTTACACAATACACACACACACACACACACACTGGAGGGGAAGCATTTTTGTATACTATAATAGCTAACGGCTGTTGGGTTGCACGTTTATGTGTCCTCTGTTGGTCATTTTTATTTACGAACTAACTGTCGTCATGCTGTTGTTCATGAATAAAAGTTTTAAGACAATGCTTATTTTGTTCTGGCTCACTGCAGTAAAAATGTCCTGGCAGTCTATATGTGCAGAATGGCCCCCCACACTACCCTCAGAATGTATGCATTGCTAAGAATATTGACCTCCGAATATTATTGTCAATCTTACACTGCTGCACATTGCGCTTGACATACTCCGTTAAACAACCAATAATTCAGACGTTCTTCATTGATTTAGCTGTCAGGCACAGCCATACCTGTCATCTTGCCCTTTGGCGTAATCAGTGATTTGTCTGCCACGAGTATGGGGATAAAATAATGACTTCACGCTGAACTGCTCTCAGTTTATCTGTTGGAAGCCAAGGGTACATGTTCAGCTCCAGACACTAGAGTTAGAAGCATATAGATGACTTAAAACAGGATATGAAGATATGTAACTTGCTGATATGTTGTTGGTGTTGTTTTTTTTATATATAAAAATATATTTGAATTATAATATTTCGAATAATAATCTATTTAAGAAATCTTATTTGTTTTGTGATGCATGCAATTTCTCAGATATGTTTTTATTTATTCTGAAGACACGAGTAATGGCTGTTGAAAACGTAGCTTTCCCATTGCAGTAATGAATGACATTTTAAAATATATTGGATTACACAACTGTTTTCAAGTTTTAAAAAAAATATTAGTTAGGAATATTAGTTCACAATATTACTGTTTTTACAGTATGTTTGATTTGAAATAAAAAAAGAGACTTCTTTCAAAAGCAATAAAAAAATCTTATCAACCCCTAAATAAATATATATCATACATATTATATATACACATTTTTGGCTTGTAACCTTCTAAATTCATCTGTGTAGCAAAAAGTTAATGTTGGAGTCTGCCTAAAAGCATTATAGTACCCATCATCCATCCTTTGGGTGAACTCCCATAGACAAGACAGCAGAGCTGTAAAGTGCTTAAACCAAGTCCAGCTGGGTCTCAGGCGTCTTCCAAACAGAATGATCAAATTGATTTGCCGTGTTTTACTGAGGTACGGGCACGGCCGGGGGAGGGATTTGGGCTAGTCAACCGTAAAGAGACTCCTGCTGTAGGTCACATCTTCGGTAGTGATGTAGTTTCTGAGAGTGGCTGGAGGCAGCTAGCGTTTGATGGCTTTAAGCTGCCACCTCCCCCCATCCCACTAGTCAAATTACCTCACAGTGGGAGAAACATTACACTGGGCACTGTTGATCGTTTGATGCAATTATGCTCATCTCAGTTGGCCCAATTGGTGCCATCTGTTTACTTACGATGGGATCTTGTGCAATTCATTTGGCTGTATATCCGTCTGTGTGCCTCTCTTAGGGTGCTACTGGTACAGTGCTCAGGCATCCCGTTACTCTGGTTTCTTAGGGGACTGAATTTCAAGTTTGTTCAGCTTCCATACCAATGAAGGCCTGTGCAGTGTCTGAAAGGGGTGAACTGACACATCTCTGCATCAACAGCGACACACACTGTCTCAGACCCCCGGGACTCTGTTCTCATCCTCTCTCACTTGCCTTCTTTCTCATTCTCTTACTCATTTGTCTTCTCTTTTAGTGTTTCTGCCTCTCCAACTTTGCTCTAGATCAGTGATTCCCAACCAGGGGTATATGGACCCCAAGGGGTAGTACTGTATGCTGGCAGGTTCCAGGGGTGTACCTAAAAAAAACATGTTGAAAACAGTTTTAACCCTTAACATGTTATGATAAATATAATAGAACAATGTAATAGATAACATACAATAATATAAAAAAAACAATTGTAATATATTTATATAAGAATATAATATGTTTTTTGAACTTTCATCAAAGAATCCTGAAAAAAAATTGACATTGAGAATAAGAAATGTTTCTTGAGCAGCAAATCAGCGTATTGATTTCTTCATTATGTGACCCTGATGACTGAAGTAATGATGCTGAAAATTCAGCTTTGCATCACAGGAATAAATTACACTTTAAATCTATATAAACAACAGTTATTTTAAGTGAGCAGCCTTGGTGAGCATAAGAGGCTTCTTCCAAAAATATTTTCAAAACATCTTACTGACCCCAGACATTTAAACAGTAGGGTATGGGATTATATGCGTTACTTGATCTGTTGTTCACCCACCGTATAAACTGTTTGATGAATTATTTAAAAGTCACTTTATTAGCATTAATTTTGAAGTGAAATGATGTCTGGAGAGAATGGAAACAGTTACTTGATACTTAAAGGGGTACTTGAGTCTAACTTATAGGACTGTTGTGGTACATTAGGCTACTTCTCTTGAATTTCTAATCAGATTAAATGTCCTATATATCTGTTCTTATGTCTTTTCTCTCATACATCAGATTGGAACAGACTGGGATGCTAAGGAAAGGATATTTCGGAACTTTGGTAAATTGATGGGACCCATGGATGAACCTGTGGGAATGCAGAAATGGGGGAAAGGGTCAAATGTGACCGTGACTGTGGTGTGGATTGACCCCACCAATGTCATCGCTGCCACCTACGATATCCTGATCGACGCCAGTGCTGAATTCACACACTACAGGCCTCCACTGAACCTGCCTCTGCGGCCCGGCATGTGGACCGTACGTGTGCTGCATCGCTGGAGCCCCGTGGCAGAGACGCGCTTTCTCATCACTCCCCTTACCCACCACAAACACCTGCCTATACGCCAAGGTGAGAGTAAGAGCTTGCCTTTTGTTAGGTAGAAGATATTTCGGAAATATAAACTCTACAGAATTTGATAGAATTTATATAGCTTAATTGAAAGCATGGTGATAAACAACATTTTACAAAAAACTTTACTACTTTTTAATCATTTGAACGAACAATCCCCTTAAATAATTCAATCAAACTTCTCAATGCTGTTTACACAAATGTTGTTTTTGATAACTGAAACTAAAACTGTTAAAAATGATTTGCATTACTTGAAATGAAGTTAAAGCTAAAGCTATATAAATATTAGATAAAAACATTCACTTCAAAAAACTAAAACAGCAATTAAAAATATTAACTTGGAAACTTAATTTGAACTAAACATTTTATTTGAACTAAAATTAAGCTATATATTTAAAAAAAAAAATTAAACGAACTAATAAAAAATAGCAAAAGCGCATAACAAAAATACTGAAACTCCATTTACACTTCAACACATAAATGTCTCCCCAAAACAATTATAAACCTGATGTTCAATTCCTGTGCTATATGCAAATTCAGTGGCAGTAGAGGCAACAGATATGCACTGGATTTTATTTATCATCAGTTAATTTCAAGTTCAAAGATTTCAGGAAGAGAAAAACAAACAGCATCAACACTGGTAAGATAATTTGGTGCCACTTTCAGTTTCATTTGCTGCAGTTTGCACGTCGGCTTGTGAAGAGATACTCAGCTACTCATCTGTGGCGATGTTGTTGCATGTTGCAGTAGTGTTGTCATATCTGGCTACTGGGAGCGTATGATACCACACACTCACACACCTTTTTTTTCCTTTTTACATTTTAGGAGAAGTAAAATTTACATATGTGGCTTCAAAAATCAGATGCATCTATAATTGTTCAGTTTCGTTCGTAATGCGTCTAACCACCTCCTAAAGTGCTTTGAGTGATCAGATTTAAATAAGTCTCGAAAGCATTTCAGAGGGCATTTAAACTTGGTCTTTTAATGATCCGATAGCTATCCGATGAAAATGCAGAGAAAAGTGACTGGGTGTAATCAGTCCCTTAAGCCAATGTGGAAAAATAATTTCTCTTTTTTTTTTTTTCTCCTGACAACTCATAGCTGAAAAAATGTGAAATACTTCACATTTTCCAATGTGCAAACTCCATGTCCTAGCATAGCATATCACTTGAGAAAATGCAGTTCAGAATACATTTGAAGCTTTGATTTATGTGTTCTCGCAAGCTTGTATATATTTAAAACGGAATGAAAAAAAAAAACGCTCCTTTCTCCAGATGTAATGACTAATCCTCTAGCGTTTTGCATGCTCTTTTTGAAGACTATAGTCTGACACTACGGTACACTGTATATTAAACTGCCTCAACCTTTCAGGTCATCCCACCCCCTGCTTTCAAAGGCACTTTCTGCCTTCACATCTAGCTATGTGCCTGGGCCGCTTGGTTGCCTATAAATAGTCCCAGCTCACAGACAAGAATGAGTAATACACCACACCGGGTCACCTTTCATTGGAATAAACTCAAAAAGATTACTGTGCAGGGGCCACGATTGGTATCTCTAGCCCATTAAGGGGACATTTTTTAATTCTAAGCATGGTGTGCGGTCATCAGCGGATCTGTCCTCAAAACGCTCCTAATGAGGGAGAGGTTGTGATTGCGGCTCGACGCGCGTGTGTCGTGGGAATGGGCGGGTGATAAACGCACATGATTTACCAGACTGTCCCATGATTAATGTCTATGGCAGGCACCGAGTCTTTTCGCTCGCCGTGCTTCTGCACCCTCAGCTAATAAAAGTTTATGGAGTGGGTTTATGCGGCCAAGTTTGGTCGGTACGCTGTAAGCAACGACGCTTGTCTGTCCACGCACTTCCTGGCGAGCGTGAAATGGAATGTTACAGAAGGGAGGAGAGGGACTGGGAAGGGAGAGGTGGGCAAACCTGGAGAGAGAGAGGTCAGGAAGAGACAGAGGGCGATCTGTGAAGGGCGGCTGGAGAGAGAAGTGTGAGGAGCCTGAGGAATTTGCAGCTTTACCTCCAGGGCCGATGTGTCCTTCCTCACAGCTAAATGAGCCGTTTTTAGCTGTTGGATGTACTGCAAGCTTGTAGTCTGGTTTATATGTGAAGATGATAGATTTTATGCAATTTTGATAGAGATTTTATAAATCCCAGCCGTATAAATTATTTTATCCCTCCAAAAGAAACTGAATATATTTAAACTGAAACTGTTCTTTTATACTAAGCCGTAGATGTTAAGAGGCATCATGTGTCTGGAGAGTCCTTGATTTATCATCAAAATTCACTTTTGATCAATTGAATGCGTCTTCTCTGAACATTTAAAATAAAAGGACATAATTATCAAAACTAAAATTAAATAAAATTTGATGATATGAAAATAAAAGCTAATTTAAAAGACTATAATAGTATATAAATAATATACTGCTGTCAATCGATAACAAATTTACTGGATTAAACACATTTTTATGTGATCAATTTCTATTAAAACACTTACGTTTGTTAGTGTATTTTATAATGCTATAATTTCACAGTTAATTTTCAAATGAATCTCTAAATAACATAAATTATATTTTAAACACTTGTTTAAACATATTTTTATGAATGAAGGCCAGTATGATACTAGCTACTGATGTGATGAAAATCCCAAATTTTAAAAATTAATTATAGCCATTCAACAGTACAGTGTAATTTATTAGGCCTACATTTATAGGCTAATTTAAATTAACTTTAAAAAAATACTCCCATATAATGTAACATAATAAACATAATAATATATATAATGCTATAAACCCTTAATACATGTCATATTTACCTGTGCCCTGTGAAATGCACAGAAATTGAATAAATGTTATCAACAGTCTGCACTGCATACATTATAAATTAAAGCTTATTAAAAATAAAGCTTATTAAAGCTACAAAAGCTTATTAAAGCTACAAAAGTTCTTTAGTCAAGAGCAGTGCGTGATTTTCTCTTTTACCTTTGTTCTTCGAGTAACTTTAATAACAGAGAGAATTAGTGGCTTCTGTCACTTTAAGACCTGGCAGATTTAACATGCATTTCATTTTCTCACAACTCTTTACGTTTATTTAACTAATTTAAGACTACTCTAATGAGGATAATCGACAAAACTGAGAGACAGTGCATTCTCTTTTGTCTTGTCGTGCTTGAATGGTTTAAAAGCTTTTGCATGAATAAGAGCATGATCATAGAATGTAATGCAACCCAAAGTATGACAGGCAAAATGGATGCTGCTTTAATTGCGTTAAATATTTGTAATGCGTTAAACTGGAAAACATTAATCTCATACGTTAAAGTGATAGTTCACTTTGAAATTAATTTTTGGTATTTTTTAGTTTACCTCAAGGGCATCCAAGATGTAGGTGTCTTTGTTTTCCGCAGTAGTTTCAATTTTGATAGTTTTAGGTCCAACCGTTCTTGTCTGTCAGTCATATAATGCAGGTCTATGGTCACCATCTCAAAGTCTTAGGCCATCAATGTGTTTACTTGCATTTACGAGTCATTAAATCATGTTTAATTTGGAATTCTCTGTGAGGTGGTGACCATAGAGCTGTATTATATGACTGGGAGACAATATCTGACCTAAAAATATCAAAATTAAAACTACTGTGGAAAAAGACACCTACATCTTGGATGCCCTTGAGGAAAAAAATACCAAAAATATAAGCTTTTCACTGGATCAAATGCCATTTAAATCCCTTATAAGTCTCCTAATTAGTTTTAGGTTTAATAAGTTATAACAATTAATTTCAAAGTGAACTATATCTTTCATGTTGACTGCACTAAAATAATACTAAAATAACATTGGATTTATTAGTATTATTAAGTAGATTTTTACCCTCACAAAAACAACCTTGTCCACACATGACAGATAACTCTAAGCACAAACAAAACAAAGCTAATGTGGATGTTAAAATACTTTCTCTTTTCCAGGTATAAACAGCATTGTTTATTACTGACAACACACTTAACTAAAGAAAATGTTCTTGAGTCATCTAAAAAAAAAATTTATCAGGAAAATTTTTATCATAAAAAAATTAAATCAGGAAGATTGTATTTTATTTTTCATGTCTAAAAATCTAAAAGGTTCCAGCAAATTCTGTCATAATCCCAGTTTTGCTTTGCTTGCATTAAATGCTTATGCTACTTGTGGAAAAAAAAAAAAACTTTTTTCTTCTCTCTCACAGAGGATGCTTTAAGAACGCACAACGGGCCGGCCAAGAACAGCTATATGGAGCAGAGTTTCCACGGCCTGAACCCCATCCTCAACATCCCGGTCCACTTGGGTCAGGTAGAGGCAGCCGAGCACAACGCAGAGCTTACGGGGTCTGAGCTGGAGAAATGGGTGGACAGTCTACTGGGCGACGTGTGGTCAGCTGTGGACGTGTGTTCAACAGGCCCCAGTGGCTGTTCAGTCATGCAGACTTGCAGGGAAACGGTGTGGAGCTCTCTCAGCCCGGACCCAAAGTCCCACCTGGGCCCACCTAAAACCAACGGACGAATCAGGTAGCAGCATTCACTGCCCTGAAGACTCGCCTTCTTTCATTTCTTAGGCCATTTTGTTTCTATTATTTATTTTCCAGCATCGCTCGTGTGAACATGAGCAGAACGGACCTTTCTTAAACGCAAGACACGGCCCAAGAAAGTGTACGCTGGGAAGTTTTTAAAGATCATTTTAAAAATGTGCACCCTCTGGCTATCTCAATCTCTAGCGATGTGAGTGCTGTCAGGCTTCTCTATATTTTATTTATTTTAATTACTGTGATTGAATCTTTGTCAACTGGACTTAGCAGGTGATGCCTATGTGTAGGTGTTACGACTGATTGCTGGGATTGGGATATTAAGCACAGAAAGGACCTAAGACCAAAAGGGAGATTTGTATAGTAAGCCTCTATATTTCAAATCAAACACACTTTCACCAACCGTGAAAGATGGAATGTGTTTTTCAAACTTAACCTTACTTATTAAAACCAGTGTTTCAGATCATATATAATTGTGTTTAGCACAACATTGCTGGTTTCTTTTAGTTTTCAGAAAAATATGTCACTTCTATAAGCTTTTCACTGGATCAAATGCCATTTAAAGCCTTATAAATCCCTTATAAGTCTCCTAATTAGTTTTAGGTTTAATAAGTTATTGGTTGAAAAGCGTCTGTTTAGAACAAAAATTGAGTTTTTGAAAAGAAGAGGTGATCCAATACCATGCAAGATGTCAAACTCCACAGAATCCTATTGTCTTTGGGGGCAGAGAGGTAATGCCTGTTCAAAAGTGGTTCGCGTTATCCTCTTCTGTATAATAAAAATTGTCCTTTATTTTGGTTATACTAGAAGCCTAAAATGGTAGATACAAATAAGAAATAGTACAAAGAATTGGTGGTTGCAAGTACGCTAGGCTAGCTGGGCTTTGCTAGGCTAACTTAGCATTATGCTTAGCTAAAAATGTAATAGTATGCTAAACTAGCAGACTGATCAGCTAGTGTATGGTAACCTACCAGTCTAATAAGTCTGAAGTATGCTAGAAGGCTTATAGGCCAGACATATGTAGAGCTAGCATGCTGGAGAGTTTGCAAGCTAACTGGAAACAGAACAGGAAATGTTTAATGTGAGCATTTGCAGCTTTGGTTATATAATGTGTTACGCGATATACACTATCATTCAAAAGTTTGGGGTTGATTTTGGGTTACTTTTTTAAATGTTTTTGAAATTTCTCTTTTGCAAAAAAAAAACAACAGAAAAAACTGAAATATTGTGTAATATTATTACAGATTAAAAATAATCATTGAAAATAAATGAACTATTATAAATAATGAATAAAACCATTTAAATTGATACTTTGTCAATGCTGGATTTTCACTCGTCATCAGTGTCACATGATCCTTTCGAAATCTTTCTAATATGAAACATTTCTGATATTTGTGGAAAACTTGAAAAAATATTTTAATGAATCGAAAGATCAAAAGAAGAGCATTTATTTGTAATAGAAATCTTTACACGCATTATAAATGTCTTTACTGTCACTTTTAATCAATTTAATGTGTCTTTACCAAATAAAAGTATTTCTTTCAAAAAAAATAAATACCCCAAACTTCTCTACGGTACTGTAAATTAAAAGTAGTTGCCGTCTATTCAACAGAACAAACATCATAAAGCAATTATGTCTATGTCTGTATACTAATATTTCTAATCGGGCATCAAATAGAGTACTCACTGAAGGTTCTTTCAGTTGGTTGAATCGCTTTGGGATAGGGTTCTGTGGAGCGGTAGAAACTTGCATGATACTGGACCACAATTTTTGAAGTGAGGGAGTGTAGAGTAGCTTGCGAAGTGTCTGAAGCGTCGTTCTGTCTGTATGCTGTTTCCTCTTCAGGCTCTTGAAACTTGAAATGGAAGGTGCCAGCTGTGCTGGCACACCACAGAAAATATGTAATTTCTTCATCTTTTTATTGTTTTATAATTTTTTTTTTCCTTTTCCCTGAACAAAGGTACTGGTTAGCTGAGGGTTGTAAGTTGGCTATTTATTCATGTTTATATAAATGAAATAGATATTTTTTTAGTCAATGACTAATGTCTATATGCTGTTTTTGCAGCTCATTCAATACCTTTTGTAAACAAGCTGCCTTTATTTACAAAGGCTATAATCCCAACCATATTACAATTATAAACACAAGATGCGGTACTAGTACGGGCGTTGGTAAAGACCTTTCCGCCCCTCCACCTGAGGTCCATCTGTTCATCTGTTTCATAAACTTTGAGCAGGAAACTAACTGGATTGACCTCAAGAACTGAGATTCCAGTCATGTTGCTTCTCATTTTCTCTGTTCTCGTCTTTTTATATGAGCCAGTGTTTGGTAATTTGCCATATATTGCTCAAACGAACGAAAACGGACGTCGGTTGGACTGGCTGGTATAGCATCAGAGCAGTTTCGAAGTTCCTGGGCTCAGTAGCTTGGAGGCTGCCTCAAACGCTTTCTCCTGCACGTACGCCATTCGGATGTCACATTTTCCAGATCGGGCTGTCCGGATTACTCGCATCCATAATAATGATAGGGTGGCCTCTCAGGTCTGACTGAGATGTATTTTTAGTGAGGAAGATTGCAAGCTTGCTGGACTCTACAGTTTGCATTGGACCAACATTTTCTCTGTTTTTACAAACCTTTTATGTTTCTACATTGCAAATGTACGACACTATATTTAAACTGGGCCAGTGTGGCTTGTTGCGCTCTCTCATTTGAGGAGCGTGTCTCCTCTGGGACTCTGTGACCCTGGCCTAGCCATCACTTTGTATGCAATCTGATTGTTATCTGGTCCTCATAGAGATGGCGTCCCGCCCGGGCTGCGCAAACAGTGAAATGTCATTGCCGTCATGTGACCCAAAGGTGGATGCGACCTTAAATTTTCAATAAAGCACTCTTGTCATTCATATGTTCCCAGCGGGGTGCGAAATTTGAATGCATTGTTAATTAGATTTTTTAATAGAGCGTCTAATGCTTGTCTAAGTGGTGTTACATCCGTACTGTACGTGTGAAAGTGCAAATTATTTGATATTCTTAAAAGAGAAATTAAATGAAGTTATCTATTCACATACATCTCATTGACTTACAATCTTGGCTTGTTGATATGTGAGGATTCAGCCACTGGATAGCTGAATATTAATGTTAAGAACCATTTTACTTTTAAAGGTGAAGAGTTTTATTTTATTCCAATTTTAAAATACTTTCTACTGTTCCAGTTTAGTGTGCAAATGCTTCCCAGTGAGTGCAAACACTGGCTTTTCTAGAACTGCTCTGGGCTGCGTTTCCCAAAAGCGTTGTAAGCCTAAGTTGATCGTAGAGACTTTTCGATATTTTTGGGAAACACACACAGCCCTGTTTGTTTGAGCCGTTCAACATGTTTGCTTCTGGCTCAAGCAGTTGTGCGAGTTTGGGGCTGGGCTACTTGTTTCAGAACATTGCGAGATGGGGCATGACCTAAGACAGTAGGTTGTGTTCGACTTTAACCGACAAACGAGTCAGAGGAGTTAAAAACAGAGGGATATTATATAAAAAAAATGTATTGTTAAAAAAAACATGAATTTGTTAGTATAGGTGGAACTGAAGGTGCAGAATAAACAGCCAGCCGATTGCTCTCGAATCGCTCTTACGCTGATCGCAAAGCCCAGCACCGCATGAAGTCAAACACGCCAAATAATATTTGCAGCTGTTTGTCGCTACACAAATTAGACACTTCACCTTTAAAGGCAAAAATGTTTAATCCTGTCATGATTTACTCACCCTCACGTCATTCTATGGAGCAGAAAAGAAGATATTTTGAAAAATCAAATTTTTCTCCATGCGATGAAAGTCAACGGGTTTAGATACAACATTGGACCCCATTGATTTTCATTGTACAGACAAAAAAAAAGACAAAATATCTGTAAATAATGACAGAAGTTTCATTTTTATCCCGTTAATATCACTGTAATGGATGAATCTAACCTCACAAATACAGCAACATACGTACCTCTTTCTTTCACATTACTTACAATTTGAAATGTATATTCTAACATTCACATTAAAATGATATTTATTACTACATCACTCCGACATCTCTTCTGTACTATAGCTATTTTGGTAGGAATGACAATGTAAAGTATTTTATACTGGACTGATGTTCATAAAGTATTGTAAATAACATTGTTTTTAAAAAGAAGCGTCAAAGTAGGTCAGGTGTTGGTGTGTTGAGTGGCACTGTAGACCATCATGTGAAAGGGTTTGTGAAGGGCTGTACTAGTCTGAGTATGTGGTTCGGCTCTTAATGAACATTTTTGCCTTTCAGAGAATCTCATGCCATATTGCCGTTCTCTGTGCTGGAATGTTTTGTTGAGCAAACTGTTGCACAATTTATTTAAACTCTTCAGTCGGAGGGGACCTCTGTGCCTTAGCTGTTGTTCCCAACCTTTGTTTCTGTAAGCATTGAACATGTCATCTCTGTATTTCTCCACAAAACCAAAAAACTGCTGTTGTAAATGCCTTCTGTATCAATGTTCTTTCGGTTTTGCTGTTCTTTTCTTCATACTGAATTTTTGAATAAAAAAAAAACCTTCTCTGTCATCTTATTTCTCCTCATCAGATATGATTCTTGAATATCACACCAATAACGCACAGCAGGAGAACCATCTCTGTGAGGCTCCTACTTCTTAAGACAGTCACATTAGCAGTAGATAAAGCAGCTGACATGCGAAGCGCTGCTCTTTAACGCCGATGAGAATCTGGTGCTCTCTGTCCCTAAAGATGTGTGTGGTCCCCTGGGGCTGATTTCAGAACTCCCTGCATCCCTCTATCCAGGATCAAAGAGCCACTTTTAGCCCATCGATCTTGTGCTACATCCACTGACTTACTGAATAGGAAAAGGAGGTCTAATTAGCGACTACATATGGCACACACCTGTCTCACCTGCAGCGTGGCAACACAGCTGGCCCTTTTTAGTCTGTCGGTCACTGATTTGACGGTGTATACTGATGTAATCCTGCTGGGCTACACAGATATTGATATTAGCACTTAATTGTTGCTACTCCTACCTTACATCTGCAGCTTGCCAGTTGTGCTTTAGGACTCACATATGCTTTCTTAAACAGTCGTGTCATTTTTAATGTAAGGAATGATGTACAATCCTTGGCAAGATGTCCAAAGTTATCATCCTGAAGGGGTTTATTTTGTAATATTGGCCAGCCTGTACATTATCTCTCCCTCTTATTACATGACTACTTACCGGAAAAAAAAACATACTATTTGTTCATAATTACAATTAATATTATTACCTTCATTAGTTATTAATATTATTTTTTAATCAATGCTTTTAGCATGGATGCATCAAAAATGACAGTAAATATGACATTTATAATGTTACAAAAAATATTTCTTTTTCAAATAAATGTTATTTCATCTAAAATTTCTATTCATAAAAGTATATCAGCACTGCTGTTTTCAACATTGTTAATAATGATGTTTCTTGAGCATCATATTAGAATGATTTCTGTAGGATCATG